ATACGCTGATCTCACAAGTCTGTTCCACTTTACCACTTACTAGATCTAAACGATCTGCAGCTAACATCTTGCTTGGACATCTTAGTCTTAGTTGCATTGAATGCTCAAGCAGAGTAGAAAAGCGCTATATAAGAACCAGTCCATTTATCACACTATTCATACCGTGCTATACCAGACAGACCTTTTTAACCAGCTGGATCTGCTGCACCGGCTCTGTCAGCTCCAAACAGGACTGCAGGGTTTGGGCAACCTGCCCGACTCCATCTTCTCCTCCATCAACTGAGAGGGATGCTGGGAAAAGGTTAAAATAAATATTTTAAGACATGCGTAACATCAAATGAAGGGTACACACAGTGACTGCTCTACCTGTTATGTATGATGGGACTTATTTACTGTTATAATAACTTTTTAGGCACAGTTATCTGTACTTTTACTCCCTTACCTAACAGCTTGTGCAGTTTCTCCTCATCCAGCGCCACAGCCTCCACTTTGGAAGTCTTCTTTTTCACTACCATGGCTCTGCCTCTGTGTGAGGAGCAAACATACAAACATAATTTAGAAACAACCAAACAAAATAGGGGCTTATTTACTGCTTGAAATTCTTGCTGCTAGATGTTAGCCAACTATTGCTAGCTGCTCGAGACTGACTACACGTGCAAAATGAAAGGCAAGACAGATACAACAAACCCTCAAACAACAAAACAACAAACCGCGGCTTTACTAGAGCAGCTCTACGCACCCGCAAAATTAAATGTAAAAAGCATTTAACTCTGTTCAGCATGTGCTTTACTCACTTGAGCCCTTCAGCTTCAGCTGGTAGCTGTGAATAGTGTCAAGTAGGACTAAAACCTCTTACTTCCGAAACGTTTTTTCAGAATAAAACACCCATTAAATATCGTGCCCAATAATACGAACAAAATAAAGCTTATATGTGACCTTTAGCAATATTGTTGTTTTTATTTAAATGTAAAAATCAAAATTTTGACTTTCAGACTCTTAATGTGTACTTTTATGTCAGCAAACTTTTACTTTGACACCAAACCTTTTCAGCTTTCTATGGTGTTGTCGCAAACCTGACGCTCATGGGGCCATGCCGCACATAGTAGACGTCACTTCCGATAAATGTCTGAGCCCGCCCTCAGAAACCGAGCTACCCGAGAAGTGGCGCTCGGGATTTTTATTGGTGGATGACACACGTCAATCAAAGGCAGACGTACCTTTCCGGCGCGGCTGAGCAACTCCTACCTAGTTTTTGATTGGACGTTTTTGATGAAGCCACACCTTTAAAAAAAACGCCAGCCCTTCGCCAACTTTGCCCGAGAAGCGCAATGAAAACCTCTGGGAAAGACAGAAATTCATCGTTTTAAGCCATGAATTAGCATTTTCTTCACAGGAATAACAGCAGATAAAGAAGCGCTGGACTCGACATGACGTGAAGCTCTTCGTAAAGTGTCTTTACATTAATATTATTAAGGGTAAGTCGATGAAAATGGATGGTTTTAATTATTAGGAAATGAATTATGTATTTTAATAACGGTGTAGCAGCAATGTGCATTAACAGTCATGTCAAATTGAAAATAACTTAAATAGACTAATGAATTTTGTTTATCAGCACTAATAAAACCAATTTTTGTAGGGAAATGAAGAAATGCTATTTATGTATTTAATTGATAGCTGTTTTAAAAAAAAGATTATAAGTTTAACTTTTAATATTTGAAAGTCACCCCGCATTAACGTACTCACAAACCAAATGTTTAAAATATCCCTTTGCCACATCATAGAAAGTGTGCTACCACAGACATTGTTGCACCTCATTACCTCAGTTTTCTTGACTGCTACAAACTGTTTTGAGTCTCTTCAGAAATACTTGGGAAAGTAGATGGACTGTTAGTCGGGGGAACTGGGCAAGTCACAGCGGTCTTTACTCAGTCACAGGATGAGCTTTCTGACAAATCAAACAGCTACTCTGTGAGAAAACATGCTGTTCGGCTTTGGGTTTTGGGGTTCATGTGCTCAAAGTAACAGTATGTGTTTATTTCTAATCTCTAAAAGTTTTTTAAAAACCTTGTGCAACAACTACTATATGTAATAATTGTTTATTGTTTAATAATAGTAATAATTGTTTGGTAAAATAACACAAACCTGAAACTAAACTCAGAACTGTTGAGGCTCAATTTGGGGCTCAAGTTGGTTTGATGAGAGTATACAGGATGAACTTTTTTTTAAAAAAAAAAGTATTATATTGTAATAATTTACAAAATCTTTTTTATTATATTTTCAAACGAAGGAAGAAAATAGGAAAGAAATTCCTAGTCCAAGACAGAAATTAGGAATGTTTGAAAGAAGAAGGTTAGAGCTCAGACAGCTGTAGTGAAATGTGTGAGGTGCAACAAACTAGCACATGATGCTGACATCTAAGGGATGGCATAAGGGGATCAGTTTGGTTAGTCAGATACGGGTGGTGTTAATAAGTAAACATGGTCATGTATTTGACTTTGGTTTTTAATAAGAGAAAAATACCTCAATATTCAAATAGGTTAGTGTTTGTGATAATATTGGACGTATTTGAACTCTATTTGAATAATGTAACTGTCTGCAGCTCTGCTTTAAATTAGCATGACATATATTCCCTGGTGACTTTGTTAGGTACACCTGTTTAATATCTAATCAGCTAATCAAATGGCAGTAAATCTGTATATATTGGCATGTAGACATGGTCAAGATGGCCTGCTGAAGTTCAATGGTGATTCAAATGAGGCATGAGCTCATGTCAAAGGTCAGAGGAAAAGGCCAGACTGCTCTGAGCTGATATTAGGGCAATAGTAACTCTAACAACCGCTCGTTACAACCAGGGTATGCAGAAGAGCATCTCCGAATCCACAACACATCCAGCCTTGAATGTTACAGCAGTGGAAGACTACACAGGGTGCCACTCGTATCAGATAATCAGACAGGAAACAGAGGCTGTATTGAAACTGGATCACCAGAACTGGAAAATAGAAAGAAAAAAAAAACATTGTCTGGTCTGAAAACGTTTGGGGATTTTCTTACTGATTATTAAGCACCCATCAACACATTGTCTGGTCTGATTTGTTTCAATTTCCACTGCAGCAGGGTTAGAATTTGTTATAACAAGCATGAAAACTTGGATCCACCCTGCCTTGTAGCAACTGTTCATGCTGGTGCTGGTGGTGTATTGGTGTGGAGGACATTTTCTTGGCTCACTTTGGCCCCTTAGTACTTATTGAGTATATTTTAAATGGTATATAACATTATTGCTGACCACAGTGTGCATATCTCCTGATGGCTACTTCCAGCAGGATAACGCACCAATGTCACGAATCATAAATCATCTCTAACTGAGAAGTGAGGTAGCTCACTGCACTGAAAAAGTGTCCACAGTCAAGAGAGCTCCTTTAGGAAGAGGTGGAAAGAACAGGAGGTTGACATCATAGATGTGCAACCAACAAATCTGCAGCAGCTGTGTAATGCTGGGGTTTGATTCAAACACTTTGTAGAATCTATGCAATAAAGAATAAGGCGGTTGCGATGGGAACAGGTGGTCCAAGCCAACAAGCAAGATGTAGATGTAAGTGTATATACCTCTGAAACGTGTTACGCTCAGCTGATACGTTTTTTAAACAGTCAAAAGATTTTATTCCATCAGAGTCAATTTGATGTCCTTTAAACCTTTATTTATGAAAACAGAATAACTTCATCAGCACACCACATCCAAATGAGTCCCGATTGTGTCTGTGTGTGCTGATTCTGACTTTGACCAACAGGAAGTCTGAGAGAAAGATTGCAAAAGAAAACACTGGGAGCCGGGCTTTAGGGGTCAGGTTTTTCTTTAAGATCATGTGTGCTCCAATATCGCAAATAATGACTAATATTCTAATAGGATGTGTTTTTTTTTACCTTCAACATGTAACCAGCTGAAGGGTGGTGTTGTGGCAAAACCGAAACATTTTGAATATTACAACTTCTATAAAAACACCAAGTGTCAAATTCCAGCATATTTAATGAGATAGCAGCGGTTAAATATGTGACACGTGAAATGTAAATTTAGAATACAAAGCATTTCTTAACATTTATAACTTTGTCATATTAAACTCCATCTCCTCAGTCCCTCGTGCTGTTTTGTTTTGTGGAGTGAGACTCATTTTATTCCTTTCCCCTCGTCAGTGTTTACCACAGCAAACAGGCAGCAGAAATAAGCCTGTGGAAACTACTTTATGGCCTTCCTCCACACATGCTTGTAGTCTCTTTGTGAGGAGGCCAGGCTGGTAATGAGAGGTTATTACTAGGAAGAGAGAAACCCAGGCTTTCTGTCCAACATCACAGACGCTCTCTCTCTGCTGCCTGTTTTCCTACATTAGTCGTGGAAAATGTGATACAAGTGTCTTTTGGGGAGGGTGTCGAGGTGTTTTGGACTAATAGAGCTGTTTTCCTGTTTGTGAGTGATACGCCCACTGCCCACACTGGTCCAGCTGGGCTACACCCTGGAATATTTCAGGTGCTGCCCGGCTGGTGCCAACACATCTGGTCAACAACAAGCCTCCTGACCATTTTCTTTCATGTCTGTGTTTCTTCATCTGCTATTATGGAGATAATGTAAAAATGTTAAATGTCTGAACAAAAATGTTTTGCTTTACATATCGTACTGTATGTACACTCTGTGTCTCGCTGCTTAGGGTATTTTTCAGAGGGATATGGCGGAGGGGGAGGAGGCGATGAGCCAAGAGGACTGGAAGGAGAAGTGTGTGGTCCTGGAAGCGCTGCTCATGAAGTTCAGAGTGCAGATCATCAAGATCCGAGAGCTCACAGCAGACAAGGTTGGCTTGAGTACATTCATCTTTGCGAGATAACCCCGGTCAAAGGAACAGGTGCAAATCTTTTTTGCAAGAAAAGCTATGCTGATGATTGACAGGCAGATACAGTTTGTTGTATCTGAAAGAGCAAAGACGTGATGGCAATACCGAATTACGGCAATGCTGAAAATGCTGTCATATGGAAATGATACGGTAAAATATCCCAGCTGGCCATCATCGGTCCAACAAACAGAGACTGGCTGTCTTTTAGCAGATGTGTGTATGCGGCACGCGATGGACATTTTTAGAGAAAACTCCCTTAACTGGGATTAATTTGGTTTTAAAGCTGAAGGATGAGCTCGTCAGTGAACGAATACTCCAAATATGATCACAGACTGTATTATGACAGATTGCATTGTAGTGTTGAATTGTCCAGAAGGCAGACAGTACCAAAATAAAGAGGAAGAAAAGGGAAGAAAAAAGCGACTGTCAGTTGACTCGGCTACAGCCAATATCCAGTCGCCTAACTGGAATTTGTTTGAAGATAATGCTGAATTAAAACACACATTACTAATAAAACACTGGATCCAATGATTATCCTTTTCCCATGGGTGGCTTGTGTATCTTGTAGTATTACACTCAACACTTAGCAGACTTTGCCCTCTCCTTCAAGACCAATTTGAAGGTCAGAGTGATAAAAACAGCATGTAGAGCTGTTAATTTTATGTGTCTTGCTGCCATTGTTTATTATTAACAACATTTAGAGAAAGATACAGGTATATGGGGATTCTAAATATCACATTATAGTTTGCTTCCAACTATCCTGTCACATTTGACTCCTGAACTCACCTTTACATCGCTGCCTTTTTTAAGTTTACCCCAAAATGTGTTACATCTTTAAGGAAAGTATTGTCAGGAAAAAGAGAAAGAGCTGCCTCGTCTCATCTTGCTTTGACTTCTGCAGTAGCCTCTGCTCTGGTGTTACCTCGTCATCAATTGGCCGATTGCAGCTGGTCCAAAACGCTGCAGCACGGCTCCTAACTGGCACACGCAAGCGAGATCATATATCTTCTATACTTGCATCATTACCTGGCAGCCAATCAGCTTTTGAATTGAGTTTAAGATCTTAACACTTGTTTTTAAGACGCTGCATGGACCAGCCCCTACATATCTTGCTGATCTCCTAACCTGGTATTCTCCCCCAAGATCCTTGAGGTATGCAGACCAAATGCTTTTGGTTGGTCCGTAGATCCAGACTAAAACACAGAGGAGACCAGACATTTGCCGTGACTGCCCCCAAACTGTGGAATACATTGCCTTTGCATATCAGGTCCTCCCCGACACTGGATACTTTTAAAATCCGTCTAAAGACCCATTTTTATTCTCTGGCTTTTGATCCATCATTAGTTTGTTACCATTATTCTTTCTATGATTTTATTCTCTTCTAAAACTTCTGCTTTGTCCATTTTATTGTACAGTACTTTGGTCAACACTTGATGTTTTTAAACAAGTGCTATATAAATAAATTTAAACTTGAACTTAAACTTGAACTAGTTAGAAGTATACTGCAGTAAGTTGTGCAGTATTCATGTCCAGTTATTTACGACTCGATCCCGATTATCCACCAAAACCAGTTCTTCCAGAATCAGAGATTATGCAAACAAACTTATGTTCAAGGGCAACAGACAAAGGAAGTGGTGCTGCTTTGACACACTATAACAAATGATCTCTGGGAAGGGGAAGAAGGTCCTCGCATGTATGGGAAGATGATGCGCATTCTCAAACTGAGTGGTGCTGTGTCTGGTGGGCACAGAACGGGCCGTCCCTCCCAGCTGGCCGACACTGGGCCGGCCCAAACTGCTCAGTGGCCTAGATCTGAAGCGGCTCTCCAGGGATGCTGATTAGAGCTCTAATGTAAACAGCAGTCTGACCACAGGGCTGCGCTACGAAGTGCATGATGGGATTGACCCAGCTCCAGTCAATTACAGACTCAAAGTAAGCTCAGCTGGACAGCAAAACAAACTCCCGGAGAGACTTGGAAGAGAGATTGGCTTCGGTGGGTTTTTGCAGCCCACGTAGCACATGTGAAAGTCTCTGCCGTGTATTTTTGGCTCTATCCATCCTGTTTGACAGGTTTACGGCCTTTTTCCACTCAGCAGTAGAAAACACACTGTTAAACACACCATAACACACACTGTGTTTTTCTTCTTTGGTGTGTTTACTCAATCCTAGCTCTGCTCTTTGGAGGTTACATGCCGTGTAAAAACAAAATATAAGGTGAAATCAGGGAGATGAATCCGCCTGACAGAAATTTTGAAAAATTGAGGAAATTGTAGTAAAGTTAGAAATCATCCATCACTCAGTTTTATTAACTGCTTATCTAACTGAGGGTCACAGGAGGGCTGGAGCCTACCCACAGACAGGTCTGCGGTTTGTCAAAGGGGGTCAAAATGTTTTTTTAAGTTACCTCATGGATCAGTTTAATCAATCGGAAGCTTCCACTGACTTATTTTTTGCTACGTAGCCACACGGAGGAATTTTACAGGTGATTTGTTAAGCTTTTTCTTATTTTTGTCATTTTTTTGGTCGTTTATACTGTTACAACAGCATGTGCTCATGTTTGAATCATGTAAAGCTCCTCTAGTTGTCTCGTCCCTTCAGCCTCAGTTCTGTTAGGAAGCCAGTTCTGAGAACAGAAGCAGACTTGGTCTTGATGGGGACGACAGAGGCAGCTGTAGTGTGTAATTTTGGTAGACATCAACAAAGCCTTTATCCTGCATTAAACTGTTGCTCAGCACCCTGTAATATTTGGTCAGTATGACTGCTCTAAATCTGATGAAGAATAACAGTAATCCTTAAGTCTTGACTGCATACCAAAGATGACTGATGTCATTTCCCAAGGATCCAGAGTTCAGTCAGAGTTCAGCAGCATTTGTAGAAACACCAACACAAATAATGATATTGAGAAAAAAAACCAACCCAAAAGCACATGTTAGTATTCAAGTAAAGCCAAATAAGTTTAATTTGAACAAACAAATATGATTCTGAATCATCCACGTCCTTTAAAATTCCCAGTCTCATTTGGATCCCTTTTAATCACTTATTTTATTTGATAAAAAGTTTAAGCGCAGTCCAAATACTGTGTACACGTACTGTGTAATATGTTCTGACTTTGCTCATGTGGCTTTGTTGTGTAATGACCGGTCAACATGTTTTCACTGACCTCGTAATGCTCTGAGCTCATCACGTTAACATCCAGACCCCTGCTGATGTGTTTTTCTCTGCTGTGGCTCCCACCGCCTCAGCCCGAGCTTGTTGTTTTTAAAGCCGTGTGGGGGCGGATGCACGTCACTGCAAAATCCCCCTAATATCGCTTCACAGAGGTAGACTCATAAACCAGTGAGGAGTGGGTTTAAAAGACTTAATTAGGAGCAGTGACTCATTCTACATTTCAGATTCCCAAATAACTGGTGCTAAAAAAAACAGTTCACTGTTTCCGATGTATTGATGGCACTGCAGCATGTGCATAAAAGCAGATCGCAGGTTGTGGCATATGACCCTGAAAGAGGTAAAATGCTGGTAATACTGTAAGATCTAGAAAGTGCTGTTCCTGAAAAAGGTTCAACAAACTATGAGACCAGTCCATCAAACTCTGAGCTGAGTTAGTTCAGTCAACCCCGAGTATGAGCTGAGCGTGTGTGATTCACTCTGGCAACGGATAAAAAAAAGAGGGGAGTCTCCATTTTAATCCAGCCGACCAACATCAGTGGATGTCCATGTGGACTGTGATATTTATGTTACGTTATAATTTAATTAGACTGGACCTCTTTGTCATCAGTAAAACATATGACCCTTTTATATTGTCCGTAATCACCATTTATCCAACTTCAGTGGGAATCATTAGACGGAGCCCGAATCCTAATTTTATATTTGATAGAAACTGAGAATAAAAATATGGAGAAACAGGTCAGATACAGTTTACTTATGGACCTGAAATATGCGTTAGAAGCTCTGTTTGACATCATTTAGTAGCCATGTTTCAATGTGTGGACACTTTTTCATATGAAGTGCAGTCAGAATACAGTTACACTGTCTGCAGCCTGCTTTGTGGTTATACAAATGCAAGGTACAAAAAGAACTCCTGCTTAACTGGGATTTCAGTGTTTGTACAAAAGTAAACTTTTGCAAATGAATGTGCTTTGATACTTTATGGACAATGAGATAAAACTGAGTGTCAGTCAGCCACTGCAACAGAAGCAGGATGGGAGGAGTCAGAGAGCAACAGTCTGTTACCCCGGTAACTGAACCAAAGTTTAACTTTGACGCTGAACTTTAGAAAAGAGAAACGGACAAAAATCTACAGCTGAATTAACAGTAACAAAGACGGGAAAAATGGCAATGGAGGAAACTACAAGCATAGAACGCCACATTCAGAGCAACCTTCAAAATAAAACAGGAAACACATGGAAACGAGACAACAGCGGGGTCAGTGGCTCGTGTTTATTACTGTATCGAAATGTTCTGATACAGTAATATCAGAACATTCAGGCTTGAGTCAGAGCAGACGGTGTGCTGGAGGGTGTGCAGTGTAATATGACAGGCCGTCCGTATGAACACGCAAACAGAATGAAGATTTGTAGAGAAAGGGTTAAGGGGTCAGAATGACCATTTTTGGGAGAGGAATGCAGGAGTAATAGGAAAGGGATTCAAAACACAAAGGAAGAGGAAAACTAAGGAGCCATGGATAATTACATCTGCAGTGGGTACAATATATGTCCATTTTTTATTTTTATATTTATTTTTCCTTTTTGTTATAGTTTTTATTATTGATCAACCATCAATATGTTGCAGTTTCTTGTGTTTCTTATTGTAGGTTTCCCCCCTCTTTCTTTGCAGAATTACCTTGAAAGAGGATAACGAAGGTTTTGAATTTGCCGTTCCACAAAACTGGAGCATGAAATGAGTTGACGGCAGTCTGGGTAGACTTGGCAAATTACTGAAATCCTAGAAAGCCTGTATGAGGT